CTTTCACAGAGTAGGTGCGAAACTGTTTACAGTACAATGAGAATGAGTGACAGACCACTGAAATCAGTCACAATAAGTGGAAATCATCAGACAGCAAACAAAGACCTGTGTGGTGAGGCTGGTGGAGGAGGAGCCAGAGATGGCCTGGCTGGTCACGTGGCCTCTGAATACAGAGTTGACAGAGTTAAAGAAGCTGGACTTTCCAGCTCCGACTGGTCCAATGAGCAAAACCCGAGGCTGGGTCACAGAGCTGACTGTGGGTTTGTAGCTTTTAATGTACTCAATCAGCTCCGTCCTCTTCCTGTACAAAACAAGGACATGAATAATGCTAACATTTTGAATGTGAAGAAATTTTGAATGTAACAGTAATGTTTAGTGTAAAGCCAAAACAAAACATGGTAACATGGCAAACAGTATTGCATAGTATTTTGCAGGAATGCCACCTTAAATACTTTGTAGAGTATGACATTCAAATATAGCTTGTTTGTCATAAAGTGTGGATAATGTAACTGCATTCAGTTCAAAAACAGATTATTGCTTTCCCCCCGATCAAACTCTTTAAAATATGTTGTGCATAAAGCATCAGGCAGGATTTTGGCTCCATCAGACTTACTTAGATTCCCAGGTTACAGTCCTCCATGGCCTCTCAAGTTTAGTGCTTTCTTAAAGATAAAAGAGAAATGATACAGTAATGTTATTGAATTTAATAAAGACATTAAATTCAACTTTCTAGATCTGCAGATTCATACTTGGCCAATCCCAAGCCTTCATTTTGCTTTGAGTCATTTAGACATGGACTTGCTGTTTTTTCCTTGCTAACCTAAATATGCTTGAGCTTCATGGCATGAGCTGATGACTGGCATTCTCTTTCAGGATTTTCTGGTAGGGAGCTGAACTTGTGGTTCCATCAATTATGAAAACAGTACCGGTCTTGAAGTAAAAGCAGCAAAAGTATTCCTACACCATCAAACTGCCACCACCATGTTTGACTGTTGGTTTCATGTTCTTATTATGAAATGTTGTGTTAGTTTTATGTCAGGTGTAACGGGACTCAAACCTTCAAAAAAGTTCACTTTTTGTAGTTGACAAAATAGTTTCCCAAACGTCTTGTGGCTCATCAAGCTGTCAATTTTAAATATATATATATATATATATTTTTTTTTTTTTTTTTTTTTTGTGGATAATGGCTCTCACCGTGGTTCACTCAAGTCCCCAAACTTTAGATGTCACTGACTTTGTTTCTCAAGTTTCTTTATTGTTTTGTGATGTTTTGCTTTTTGAGATCTTTTAGCTTACTTCATTTTTTCAGACATCTTTAAGTGATTTCATTATTCAGCGGTTCTGTTAGTAATCATGCTTGGGTGTTGGCATATTGTAGTATTTGTACTGTGATATATCAAATTTATCAACACTTATCTGCAACATCTAAATGATTACCTTATGTTACACTTACCCTCCACTTGGTAGACTTCACACTCAGTCAGGTCGAGATCATTGCCATGCATCTCTGCAGCAGGGAAGTTGTAATAATTTCCTGGATTGCTGTACGTTACTGCTTGGTTTAAATTGACAAGAACCAAATCTTCTCCAAAATAAGGCCCATTGTTAACTATCATTCTCACTGCACATGCAAAATTATTAACTGGATATTTGATGAGGTTTTCACCATTAAATGTAAAAAGAAAAGCCTGATCATCATTCACGTACTGTCCAGACTGACTAAAAGGTTGTTTGGTGTAGCCTCCAAACACAAAACCAGAGTTGTTGTAGCCCACAGACACAGTGGGAGAGTGGTTGTCACATCTTTGGTGAAATGCTGCACCGGAGAAGCCGTGGATGCTGGCCTTGTACAACAGCTTTAGTTTGACTTTTCCCAGCTGAGCGCAGATTGTTCTCTGCTGGCTTTGTGTTAGTCTGGGGTTCATTTTGGACTCTTGGTTGTTTGAGCGTAGTAAAGAAAGTGATTGAATCTGTGGAATCAATCACAAAAAGACAAACACAATCTACATGAACCCCAAAATCAGTTTTAATGGCTCAGCATAGGGAAAGAATCACAATTTACAATAATTTCTATTGAGACCTCCAGTAGATATTCTTAGTGTACAGGCTGTGATCAGCTGACCTGCTGTTCCCTGAGGATTTACACACCTAAATTCAACCAGATGTGAGCAGATGTTTTCATGAGCTCTCCTGTGTGATTTCCATCAATTAGATGGATGCACCGGTCCAACACACTGTTGTTTACTTTAAACCCATCACAGTACAGAAATATAGAAATATATAGCAAACTAACCTGCATACCTTGCACTAACCTGCAGAGGATTTTCATGTAACCTTTACATAACACAGTCTACCTCAGTTTGTCTCTTTCTATTCTTTCCCTGTGAAGTACAGCAGCTGCACCTTTACCTAGCAAAACACGGTGAGACTATTTGGTGTTTAAAGGCTCAGTGACAGAAAATAATAACTCCTCTTAAACCAAAACTAAGGAGCCTTATTTGAAAATGGAAGGAGCAGAGAGTCCATATATTTGTTTAAAAATGTAGGGAGTAAAATTAAAAGGTTGTCAGAAAAAAACTCCAAGTAAAATTCTACTTAAGTAGCTACATTTAAAAACAATATACATCATTATTTTCCTTTTTTATTGCCTTCAGATGTTTGTTTCTAGAAAGAACCAAATCTAAATGTATGTTGCTGGCCTTAACAGAAAAAAATGAGTTAACGTAACGATGTCATAAGTTTCATTTCCAGACAGACTGGCATAAGGATGAGCACGTTTTGTTCTCCCACTTCATCAGGAATCCTTTAACACATTTGCAGTGGTTGCTTTTAGAGTAATGCGTACATTTCACTATATAAATAGAATTGAATTTGTGACTTTAGCGGTGGCTACTACTCTACTCCTACTCTACGCAACTACATCAGTATAGTTACTATCCCGAAAGAAAAACTTTAGTTAATAAAAATCTTACGGGCACAATTTTAAGTTAAATTCATTAAGCTCTTTAACATTTCTGCTTTTACCTCCTGTTCCAGACGGACGAGGGAATGTGAGCAGGGATCGCGGTCCTTGCCGTAAACGAACGGAGGACTACAGACAGGTGTGCCAAAGTATTCCAGGTGTTGTGCCTAACACCGGCAGAGTTTGTTACCCGTGCGTCGGGAGCGCGCACTGGTCACGGAGCGCAGACGAGGACGTTTAGCCTGATAACAGGACAATCACGTCTGTGTGTCATAAAAACTTTAACACTCAGCACGTTCTCAACAAGTGAACTGATCTGATAGAATCTGTTCTGCCCAAATAGGGGAAGGCTGTAGGCCGACTTTGTGCAAGACTGGGGCAGAAAGACTTAAAAAGACTATGATCAATCGCAGTAACTAATTATAATCTAATATAATCGTAAATATAGAATAAAGTTATTATTGTGTTTTAGCTACAGAAGTATTTTAGAAGAATAAAACACAATTGTTTTCATTGATACTCTTAGAAAGGTGCATTTTTGTACCCAGCAGAAACAACTTTGGTGCAACAATCAGAGCATATTTCTAGGACGTCTGGAAACGAACACGAAGGCGTTTACTTGTTGAGGATGTGGTATATTGAGTGTCAAAGTTTATATGGATCCTCTTATCAGACAAAACGTCCCATCCCGTCTTGCGATACCACGTGTATGGAAGCCCGTTTCCACCACAAAAAAAAGGATCCATAACTCGAAATTTCAAGTTATTTTCTCGAAATTTTGAGAAAAGTAACTCGAAATTTCGAGTTATGTTTCTCCAAATTTTGAGTTACATTTCTCAAAATTTGGAGTTCGTAAGTCGAACTTTTGAGTTAATAAGTCGAAATTTCAAGAAAATAACTCGAAATTTTGAGTTATGGATACTTGTGTTTTTTTCAGTGGCGGAAAAGGGCTTCCATACACGTGAGAATGATAAATGTACAGTTTTCTGTTATAACCTGCAAACTGAACAGCAATGTAACGACCCTTTCTCACAAAAGAAAACGTTTGGGTCCGCGCTCCCTGCCCAATGCGCGCTCCCGGAGCGACTTTGGCACCACTTTCGAAAGAAATGAAACTGAAAGTGTCCAACTAGAAAAGCTCCTAGAATAAAACCCGGTGTCTGATGTTTTTATTTCATTTCCTTTCAGTTCAAGACAAATACAACATAAGTCGTTAGTTAAACTCATAGAAGACACACCTCCTCTGAACTTTTTCATTAATTTTTTATCTTCTTGGCACCCGTGCGTCATGATCCGAGTGAGAATGTTAAACTTTATCGCTGTTTCCGTTTGATGTCTGCACTTGGATCCACTTCCACGTAAGCTCCTGTTACACGGTGCTCCAAGCAAACCGTGTTCACTTCTGAACATTTATATTCATAATAACATGAACAGGAGGAAATGAACGTTAGAGACATTTGATCTGAATTGCTTCTCCCAAAATATTAAGGATCACTTTAAGAGTGTGAGATGAGAAACAAACTGATCCGTGCATCGTCACATGCTGCAGTTTTCCAGCTTCTTCTCAAGAATGACCCATCTTACTGGTTCTTCAGCTATTAAATTAAAAAGACAGTTCATTAAAAAAATATATGCAATATAAACTAGCACACATAATAATAGTAATAAGGATAAACTAAGGAGCTTGGAAAGAAAAGCGTCTAGACTTCTTTAAGTTGCTTGAAGATATTCCACCTCTCATCTGAGAAGCTTCTTCAGTTCTAGGGTCAAATAGTGGAGAGTCCCAGATTTAAGCCCTGTAGGAGTATCTCCCCGAGAGGGACAAAAGGACCCCCTAATGATCCTCTACCTAATCACAAGAGCCAAGGTGTGAAAACAGGTGCAGGTCATAATCAGCCAAGGTTTCAGGTGAGCTCATTGTGAAACCCCACCCTATCATGTGCTTTCATGCTTTCAAGCAACTTAAGTCCAGAAGCTTTTCTTTCCAAGCTCCTTAGACTATGATGACCTGGATGACTGAGAACTTTCACAGACATAATAACAATAAAGGAACTCTGCACAGCATTAATGACACAGCGGTCAGAGAAATCAGTCCAGTTTCAAAGCCTGTTCAAAATGCAAAGACAAATCTTCCACTTTAACCTTTCTGATGGAGGAGAGAAGGGTGTACACTGGGCGATAGCACATGTGTAACCTTAAGTCTCTAGAGAGGGTGTGAACCACATTTTGTTTTTAATTTAATAATAAAATGGTGAAAAAGTTTCTTTTTTTTTTTTCCTGTGAAAGGGAAAAAACTACAAAACATTGGTGAATGTAAAACGTTTTAATAAAGAAGCCCAAAGACTGGTTAAAAAATATATCAGTCTCACAAACAGAATGTAAAGCGTAGAGTCAGTTTTTATTAATTAGAAACAAAACAAGACTGTTTAAAGTTCCTATGTATAGCATGTTGATGTCCTTTACACATTTTGTTTTTTTATGTCAAAAACAACAGAAACACAGGTTTTTGTTACAAATGAAAACTCTCTTCTCTAACACATTGAAACAGGAGCAATTTAATTGATGCTCCTAATCTAAACACTTAGAAATCAGAGATCCAGGACTGTCTTGAGCTCTTTGTTCTGTGGTGCATTGTCCTGGAAATACAGGTCAGCATACTGCAGGATGTGATCAACAGCACTGAGAAGCAGCACATCTGTGTTTACATCCAGGTCCAGCTCTGACGAGTAGTTTTTCACTGGAACGATGTAGGAGGTGGACATGCCCAACAGAGCGGCGGCTTTACCCATCTGCAAACACACAGACACATGTACACCTCCAGTGTTTAGTATCTTCAGCTGATTAAGAACAACACCAAACACAATCAGCATCTCCTTAAGATGATCATCTCAATGTGATCTGTGAGGAAAGTTGTTCTAACGTCACACTGACTATAAACTCTTGTTGTTTGTATTCAGAAAATCAAACAAAGTCAAATCTTTTCAAGCTGTACATTTACATTGCTGTTTGCAGGATTTATCCTATTCTGGTTTGTGGAGCAGTTACAGTATATGAACATTTCTTGAACTGTATTTGGGTTGTTTTAACTTACCACATCCGGAATTGTGCGGCTCTCATAAACACCAGTGACATCTTTGGCTGTTTGCAAACAAACTTGGTCCACGTGGGTGAGCAGCGCCACCTGGTGAACACCTAAAGAACAGAAACACACTGTTGTGATGAAGACTTGCAAAGACAATGCAAATCCTGTAAAGATGGCGCTCAGTTCTTTTGTTCTAGAGATAAATATTTGCTCAGCTTTCTTTGTTGTCCTTCTGACCTGATGCAGCGTTCACCATCGTCCTTATACTTTTTCACTAACTCATCTACATAAGGTGTTTTAAAGCGCCGCGGCGTTTTATCTTGAAACAACATCTGTAATCTCCACATTTTGACTTTTTTCTTGAAATTCAGGCTTTATTCTCAAAATGATCAATAACAATCTGCTCTTAATGTAGCTCTAATACTCTGTCATACTGGATCTAAAATGATTTCTTCTGTTATTACACATAAAACCCATTTAGTTTTAGCCTAATTCATACAAAGAAAAAAATCACTAACAATGTAGAAAAAAAAAAGAGTATTAGGAACATTATTAAAGAGCAGCTGCACTGAGGCAAAAGTCAGCTAACTCAAGTAACACAACCTTTAACGTCAGGCTCTGTGTAAACGTGTGTCTGCGGCTCACCCAGGTCACTGATGTGCTTTCTGAGCTGTTTAAATGTGGTGCTCAGGCCTTTGGGGTAAGTTGTGATTTTTGAGGCATCCACCACAAAGGCAACACAGTGGACTTTGTCTTTAAGACTCGGCCTCTTCACGTAGCCCACAGTTTCTGAGGCGGAGACTGGCTGGTCTGGGCTAAACTGGAAGAGAGAAAATATTTTAAGTTATTAAAAAAGAAAAAGTATTAAAAAGAACTATGCTGTGTGCCTTCATGTAAACATTTATACATGTTGGCACAAACCATAAGGTACAGATATGGGTGATGGTGATCCCAGTTGTTTTACTAATTAGAGAAGTTGGGAAATTGATTTGTTGTTTCTTTTACATCACAGGACTATATGACCAGTCAGCTGATCATCACTGTTCTTTAGTTTACCCTGATGGGAACAAATATCGGGCATTAAAAAGGGGTTTGGAGCTGCTGTTGACTTTCTGGGTGATTTGACGTTGCTCCTGCTCCTCATTTCCTCTGGTTGCTCCAGCTTTCTCCCACTTAACCTAGCATGCATTTCTAAAGCCAAGCCTAAATTAGCTGTGGGCTTTAGCTCTGTGATGGACTAATGACATGTCCTGGGTGAAACCTGGCTCTTTCCCACTCTCAGCATGACAGGATAAAGGAGTTATAGCTGATTCATAGGGAACAAATTCCA